TACCTGATGTTCTAAACAGCTGTATTTCAAACCAGAGCTGGTGGTACTGCAGTTGCAGATCAAATAATCTTCCCACCCTATAAATGTTTGTAAATCTGTTTAAAAAGGGGCTTTCAGATCATGGTGGATACGTTTCCATTTTTGTTGCAAATTTGTACAACTCAAAATACCATCTTCCCATTAAAAAAACAAACAAACAAAGACAAGAGGATGTGTTTTCTAGTTATAATGTTGTTTGTCTGAATATGATGGTTCAATCTAGTCTAGACCATGATCACCCTTAGCAAAAAGCTTTTATAGTGATACAACCTGAATTCTATGCACATTGCTGCATCTCAGTGTGCATGAATGGAAAGGCTGATAGAATAGAACATCTCAGGATAACTTTTCTTCTTTGTACTCCCTTTGCAATTACAATCCTTAATTATTTATATCTGTAGTTCACTGCATACTCAGGTAATTTGTAGGATAAATTCATTTACCTGATTCCATTGCTCCTTTGATGGTCCCAATTACGTTGTAAATTCTTGTCACTTTATTATTACTATGAATGTGCATTCTGACCTTTCTAGATCATGAGAGAACAAATTTAAAGAGAAAAGTCATCAGGTTAGCTAATAAAACATTATCCACTTAAAATTGTATAAGATGCAACTTGTTTAGATTGAGAGCTTATGGGCTAAATTTTAGCCTCAGCAAAATCTGCAGCAAATCTAGAAAAAGATTCTAATGAAGTTGCTCTAAAGTAAAAATGCAGTATTGCTGCTAAAGCAGCTTTTCAGGAAAATATCACCTTTAGATTAGAATGCAAATTTCCTTTTTACTTTACATCATGCAACACGACTCAAAACTGAAGCCAGCTTACTTCAAAATAAACTTGAAGTAAACTTTTACTATAAGACTTAAGACATCCCCGGTATGTTAGAAAATCTGCCAAGATGGGGAAGCCTCTTAAATGAATTTATCCCAAGATCTGTCTAAACCAAGAACAGGTTGAGGATTTTCATACAAATCAAATATAACTGCAGGCATTTTGCTTAGAATTTGCTTTATCCTAGAACTCATGCCCAATACCCTCATTTCACTTAAAAACAAAGAAAAATATGAAGTTGCCAGATGTTCAAAGGCTCACACTGCTATACCTGTGTGTTCCTGTCCCTGAAAACTATTTTTATATAAAGCAAAACTAACCTTGTAGAATAACTCCCAATGAACCCAGGGCCAATGTTGTAAGACACATTCAGACTTCCTTTCCAGGTGCTGTCTGGCGGGGCAGGTCCTCCCATGTTTCTGTTAGAAAAAATAAATGTGATTATTTTTCATTCTTTATATTGAAGTAGTGCCCCTGAGTGTCCATGATAGACCATGACCCCACTGCGCTAGGTACTGTACAAACACAGACCAAAAAGACAGTATATGCCCCACAGTGTTATTTGAAGGAGAGGGACACTTGAGAAGGACACTAACATCAAGGGGACTTGTTGTTGCTCTGCTGTCTACAGGCAACATTCAGGTCTTTAAATTTAGGTCTGTAAATCTAGATCAACTGCATGGATTTATCTCAATGGAAAGAGATAAGGATCAGGCATACCAATTTTGTGTTAGCAGATAGTTCAGCTGCTCCAAATGATTTAAATATGAAGTGTCACTTTTAAGCGATATATGTGATTTGGGGGAATCAGAAGTTGTTGAAAGGTGTGCTAGATATTCTGGCCCTGAATCACCAAAACTCTTAAGCATTTCTTTTCCTTTAAGTATGTTCTTAAGTGCCAATTCAGCATAGACCCAGACCATATATTTATGCCCTATGAGCATTGTGGGAAGAAATAAATCATGGAAAGTATATTTTTAATAAAAAATATGACATCATAAGAAGAATGCGGGGTTATGACCTTTCAAGTTCTATATGAGAATAGAGCTAAAACAGTATACACATTTTTGTTTTACTCAACAATGCCGTTGGTAGTCAACTGGTGAACACATTTTTTTTTTTTTTTTACAGTACAGCCACTGCCAGCAAATGCAATACAATAAGATAAAACACCAATTCACAATATGCTCCCAAAATCCCTTGAATAATCCCTTGATATTCCCTTCAATATAACTACTATCAAGCAACTGTTGTTGTATAATAAGTGTGAGTGTTCCCTTTCTCCAATCACATGCAGTATGTCACTTGGTGAAGGATGGATGGAGGGCTGCATGGTGGGAGGCTGAGAGAGAGGGAGGGAGGCAGGCAGCCACTGGCCCTTCCTGGTTACTGGCCATGTCCCAGCAGTGTTTTACTTTTGGTCTATATGGCATGCATGGCCAATGGGGGGGGTGGGTGGGGTGGTTTTCAGAATGCTGATGACTGTGCAACTTCTATGGAGTCATGG